AAAACAAAATGGTGAAATATAACAGATTCTGTTTGGAACGAAACATTTTCGACAGACTGCATCTTAATCAGAAACGTACATGTAATTATCAACTGAGTGAAGAAAAAGAACTAGGATCAAAAATGGAATATTGTAACTCGAGAAATTTCCGGGCTGAAATAGGTAAATTCAGCATCAATAATAGCAAATGGCTGATGGTAAAATCATCAATGGTGTTAAATCGGTACTGAAGCGCTGGAATTCAGATTATGAGAGCTTTAACACTCCGGATACACATTTCTCTTCAAACGAACCATGTGGCAAACTTTTTTTAATAGGAATATTCACAGGACGAATACCCTTTTTCAATGTTATGATAGGTATGATTTTGATTGGGGAAATGTTTACATAAAGTCTATCTGGACGTACTTATACAAACAGATAACAGCTCATCAATTAAACTGGTGGCCAACAGGAAAGGAATAAATTAATCATTATTATCTACAGGTTATCATATGACCATTTTACATCCTGCTCCGTATCAGCTCGACACTCCTGTATTGGCCAAATGCAGCTGATAATGGTCAATGGCTAGAGAAGGATATGGTAATGGTCATATAGTAACTTTATATTATAAACTGCTTTCAAAATCATTAGCAATAACACAAAAACACGCAGAAAATTAATATCCCATAAAAACAATGATCACATTCTACCTTAAATTAAACAAAAAGAACAGATTAGAAAAACAGATTGATATAAACAGTGTGTACACTATCCGTGTCAAACCAAACGTTAAACGCGCGTGCCAGACAGATAAAGAGCGTGCTTGGCGGTTATTGCGCGTGCTGGGCGAATATGTGTTGGTCCGGGATATGACGTATGCACAACTAGCAGTATCACACAACACATATCACGGACAAGTATATGATAAAGTTTACCATGTGTACAAAAGGTCATTATCAAAGTCAGCAAAGATAATCATTCATAATGATAATCAATACAAGTTCACCTATCAAAAATACTCTCATATGCACACCGTATGAAAATGTGGTGTTGTAGCACCGGTGAAACACAAAGGACGCCAATTTGAAGATCTAATACTGACCATCAATATCTATCACCATGACAAAATAAGTTTCATTTTCACATATAATAAGAATGCGAGGTTATAACAATGGATAAATTTAACCTTAAGAAGCTGGCATTTACATACGTATCATAATGATTTCTAGATGTAATAGAAGAATCTTCGAAGACCATCGGTCAAATCGATCACCATTTCCGGTAATTATATTTATATTTACGATGTTTAAAAAATGTATCCAGCAATCATGCTATTTCATTTATACTTAAAGCATATATTATTGAGCGGATCATATAGGTGTATGTATATAAACATTTCGATTATTTAAGCGTGTATTTTTATAGTATGGGCTGCGTTGTCTGATGTCCAATGTTCGTACGTTAACTTTTCCTTATCGTCATCGCTATTCTACCTTCATTCATGAACATATCTTGATAAAACTTGGTACAGATATTGCATACCAATATAGCTCGAACGAGTTTGCATTTCAGGACTTAACGTGCTTTTTTAGTGGAGATATACCCCTTGTATTGCCAAAAAAGGCCATTTTGTAGTAAATGCTAGAACTTTTTATATTTTAATCAATTCCTTTCAAATTTTGTACTGTAATGATAGAAGCAATATTGTTCAACAGTTTCAATGTTTGACGTTTTGATATATCACATTTGACATAGCAACGTTGTTCATCGTTTTCACAGTTACCTTTTGCTTGTTTACGCGATAACTCAAACAATTGTTCTTAATGTTTTGTCAAGTTTGGTTGGATGTTTCATTAGCTGAATGCTTTGAATGAGTTCTCAAATCGTGACATTTAAACGCTTTTTGGCAGAGTTATGTCCCTTATTATTGCCAAATAAGGGCATTCCGTCGAAAGTGCAAGAACTTTTTAATCATATGTTAAATTCCTATCAAATTTAGTGTTGTAATACAAAAACCAAACATGTTAAAAATTAAGGTTCTAGTTTGAGTAAAAGCTACATTGACCACGAAAGTTTAATTCTGAAACACAAAATAGCTTGCGCCATAAACACAGTAAATGAATGGAGAGGTCACAGTCACCAACAAAACGGTGGCAGTAAACATATTTATATCATATGTCACTACCTGCTTCCAATATATCAATACCATTCTGAGGGTCTGACGGGCGTAATCATGCTTCCGCTCGCGGTGCTCTTGTTTACAAACAGTTTAGTCTAGATGTCCTGGATTTCCTACGCATGAGTTTCGAAATAACGCGACAGATCAATTTTCCTTGATTTTTTGACATGTGATGCCTGACTGCGTATTTCTAGTGATTATTTGTGTTGACGATCGATTTCCAGATTAAAAAAACATGTTTCTCCAATTGCCCAATATCTCATTTTGAAAACTTGCATTATTGACTCTGGTACAAATGTACGGGCGCTATGGACTAGAAAACGTCTGACAATTGGTTATTTGGGCCATTTTCATTTGGTCAGAGAAGACGTATATGAGTTATAATAAAAAAAGAAATTATAATATCGTACTCAAGTACGAGTGATTCGATACTAGTAAACGGCAATGGACGATGATTTTTAAAATGGTCGCATACAGACGAACTATTTTGTTCATTTGTGGTATGACTTGCTTTCCAGTGACCTGATATAAAAAAAAATCGATATTGAAGCCTTAAGAGAACAATAATATATATAGATCAAACAATATTAATTACATTTTCAGTGGTATGTTGTCGGGTTTCCAGTCCAAATGACATTAATAATATATGTGTCGTAATTTTTCCAATCAGCGAGCAGCGTATGCGTTACTGACAGTAGGTAATCACCTTATTGTCCCGAGTCAGTTCCTGTATGATAAAGCACCAACAATAAAAATGTACCCGATAACGTTGATAAGCTGGTACATTAACTACTCAGGTGTGATTTTTTTTTCGGCTGTCGCAGACGATGATAGATAATTAAAGTCGGAGTAAATACTCCAAAATGTAAATGTGTTGGAATAATCAATATGAACCTATCCATCATGTGTTTAATTGTGTTTTCTCTAGCGTACTAAATAATCTATAACGCATTGTCCTCCTGCACGATTACAATGAGTTGTTTTCAAATAAATTACACGCCAATGTGCTATATCGTGATAAGTACACGTAGGCTACCGATAGATGACAGGACGTGAAAACACCTCCCATGTGACATTGATCAAACATCTGCCAGGAGAAGCCACATTGGACGGTGATAATATGGCAAAATTATGTCATGCGTTGTTTCGAATCAATTACTGTGATGTTTAACATTAAAGTTGAAAATGTCGTGAGAATAACTGTCAAGGGTTGAGCTGTAAGGTGCTCTTTTAGCAGATGATGAACTAATTAAGGAAAACAACACATAGATCAGTATAAAAACAGCGTGCGTTCTGAAACAAGTTGTAACAGTTATTAAGGCTGCAAGCAATAAAAATACCAAAGAGCGACAAAAACCTTAATTCCATATCAAACTCAATGAACTAGGGCAAAAATATAAGTAATGGAAATATTTACGCGTACATACTAGAAACATATATGGAGAATCAGACCAGGCCGCGGTCGCTGAAAGTTTGGCTAGAGTGAACCAGTGGTTAGGGAAAATTTCAAACATGAATACAACAAAATGCAGAACATCGTATACCATTCCAATGCTATACATTTGAGAGAGAAGTATCATGTGTTTTGGGGATATATGAAGGTTTGACAACCCTTGCTTCTTATTGGCAACAATTTGAATTCCACTAACCAAATTTTAAACATCCGGAGCCAGTAGACCAGATGTTCCCGTAGAATAAGAGTCTACTGTTGCCTCGACTTAGCATGTGGATATTGAATTAACTGTGACATGTAAAACACCAAAGATGCAAAATCCTATTACTATCAAGAAAGGGAAAATTCAAGCTCAAGTAATCGACATCGCCAAGCTTGTTGTACAGCTTCGTAGTAAGCCGTCACTTTTGGTCCAAAACGTAAAGAGCTTGGAAAACGGCTAATGTTAAAGTCTGTAGAGTGATTATTTCATGTTCATGAGGGTATATATACGGTCGACTTGACCAGTATTTTGTTTGTAGATATAAATTATAATTGATACATAACAAAAGAAAATTAAAAGGACTTGGCAATATTTTTCCTACCAGTCATCGTAAGCTTTTCAATAAGTTCAGCTTCATATGGTAAAAATGGCATACAGTGCAGCAACATAACTATAACCTTACTAACTACATTGTAGTATTGGAAATAATGATTTGTTTGAGCAGTAAGCAGAGCAAGCGATTAAACATTGATCATATGCATTTTTGTAAAGGTTTTTAATTTAACACAACCGAGAGAGTCCCGTATCTTCATCGTTAACTAGTATTCGGGAAGATCGTTACTCAGACATGGTTTGCTAGTGTTTCGTCCTTCTAAAAAAAAGATTACATGTATGTATGTATGTATAACTAGGGTTTCACCGGGAAATCAAGTAAGCCTTTTTCTTTTCATATGTACAAAATATGATAGTACTTACAGACAAGGACAAAGTTAATTGATTATTTGATTCCTGACACAATCCCAAACTAATTAAGAAATTGCTGGGTGTTTTTAATATCAGTTGTGTACGTATCAAGCTGTGACAATGTGTTCCCTTTCTCGTTGATTTTGTTTGTGCCGTCATGATCTCAAAGTGAAAACCAGTAGCCCATGCTATGTTTATCAAAAGCTTTGTATGCATAAATACTAGCATGTGGATTTCACAATGACATTCCTTGTGGTGCGATCCTCCAATATCACAAGTGATATTTCTTTCTTTTTTTCTGAATTAAATCTGCATGTGTGGATGGAGATCCGGGACTACGGCATGATTGCTAGGCGACTAAATTCGGTTAATGATATTATAAAAGCATTACAGCATCTCACTAACAATCCAGTATCAGTATGATTGTAAATTCTCACCTGGATATGCGGTATTGTGTATCCGGCGTTGCTACACCATGCTCCGATATTAGGGGCCGCACATCCGCTCGACGCCCTCTCTTTGTACATATATAGGCGGCTACAGGCTTGGTTGTGATGACCATTGCTGTTATAAGGATGATAAGACGAGGCTGATATGGCAGAGTCTGGGACTCCCTGGGGTCCAGATACGAGGAAATCCCAACAATCCATGTCTCCCCAGCACAGAGTGAGAACTGAAGCACAAAACAGACGTATTAACAATATAGCAAAGGGTAGTTTTATATGAGATTGACATAAAATGACAACTAACTGAAATCTGGAACACCACGGGATAAAGTTGTCACGAATGTCCTCCTGAATTTGGCTTTCATGTCTTTCACGAAATACACGTTGCATGTCAAAAACATAAAACAAATGTATAAGGTACACGGATCATGTTAACCACGTGACAGTGTGTTACTATAACACGGAATATGAGTGACAACTATTTAACACGATAACCGTGACAGTGTGGTACTATAACACGGAATAGGAGTGACAATTGTTTAACACGATAGCCGTGACAGTGTGTTACTATAACGCGGTATAGGAGTGACAATTGTTTAACACGATGGACGTGGCAGTGGGTTACTATAACACGGAATAGGAGAGACAATTGTTTAACACGATGGACGTGGCAGTGGGTTACTATAACACGGAATAGGAGTGACAATTGTTTAACACGATAGACGTGCCAGTGTGTTACTATAACACGGAATAGGCGTGACAATTGTTTAACACGATAGACGTGACAGTGTGTTACTATAACACGTAATAGGCGTGACAGTGTGGTACTATAACACGATAACCGTGACAGTGTGGTACTATAACACGGAATAGGAGTGACAATTGTTTAACACGATGGACGTGACAGTGTTGTACTATAACACGGAATAGGAGTGACAATTGTTTAACACGATATACGTGACAGTGTGGTACTATAACACGTAATAGGCGTGACAGTGTGGTACTATAACACGATAGACGTGACAGTGTTGTACTATAACAAGGAATAGGAGTGACAATTGTTCATCACGATAGACGTGACGGTGTGTTACTATAACACGGAATAGGAATGACAATTGTTTAACACGATAGACGTGACAGTGTGTTACTATAACACGGAATAGGCGTGACAGTGTTGTACTGTAACAAGGAATAGGAATGACAATTGTTTAGCACGATAGACGTGACAGTGTGTTACTATAACACGGAATAGGAATGACAATTGTTTAACACGATAGACGTGACAGTGTTGTACTATAACACGGAATAGACGTGACAGTGTGTTACTATAACACGGAATAGGAATGACAATTGTTTAGCACGATAGACGCGACAGTGTGTTACTATAACACGGAATAGGAATGACGATTGTTTAACACGATGAACGTGACAGTGTGTTACTATAACACGGAATGGGAATGACAATTGTTTAACACGATAGACGTGACAGTGTGTTACTAAAACACGGAATCGGAGTGACAGTGTGGTACTATAACAAGGAATAGGAATGACAATTGTTTAGCAGGATAGACGTGACAGTGTGTTACTATAACACGGAATAGGAATGACAATTGTTTAACACGATGGACGTGACAGTGTGTTACTATAACACGGAATAGGAGTGACAATTGTTTAGCACGATAGACGTGACAGTGTGTTACTATAACAAGCAATAGGCGTGACAATTGTTTAACACGATAGACGTGACAGTGTGGTACTATAACACGGAATAGGAGTGACAATTGTTTAACACGATGGACGTGACAGTGTGTTACTATAACACGGAATAGGAATGACAATTGTTTAGCACGATAGACGTGACAGTGTGTTACTATAACACGGAATAGGAATGAC